CCAGGCAGCTGCAGAAGCTGCACAATGGCAAGATGCTGTTTTTTAAGAAAAAGAAAAAAGAGTAAACAGAAATCCCATTTTAAATGAATTAGGAGGCCGGAAGGGGAAGCGCTCACACACTACATTGGTTGCTGATTTCTAAGCACAAGAACTTTTGTGATAGCCCTCCCAGCTTCCTCTTCCTCTCCACAGAAGAGTTTCCTCTTTTGTTTAGCAGACTTTCACTTGACTTGACATGGTTGCATGTTCTGTATTGCAACTCTTTGTTCTTCCTGAATAAATCCACTTTGCCGGAGAAATATCTGGTTGATGTGTTGTTTACGGTCAACAATTTAAATGCTGGAGAGTGGAAGGACTGAGGGGATTATTCTCAAATGTAGTTGGAGATTATGTCTGGGATTATTTTCTTTATTTAATCTAATGTAAGGCTCTTGCTCTAATAACTTGTTCATATGCAGAAATACAATTTGCTTTTGTTGTTATAGATTGGTGAGGCCAGGGATGGATGGGTTACAGTGCAGTTCCTGTACTTAATAAAAAATCAAAAAGGCAAACATGTAACCCAAACTTCAGTACCTCCCCCATAAAACTGTAATAGAATCCATTCTGAAATGCTAAAGCCCTGGCCAAAACGGGGATAGAAAATGAAAGTTCAGAAGTATTTAAAACTCATTTCCAAATTTTAAGGAAATTATATTTATTTTAAAGATTATAAACATTTTTTAGTGTGTTTTATATAAAGACATTTTTATGTCAAGCCAGTGTTGAAACTAAATGGCACAACTTTGCTAATTTATGAGTGCATGCCACATGTAACTTTTAAATTAGACAACACGGGATTACCTTTAAAGTTTAGCACTTGGAGTAAATGAACATGGATGATAAAGCTGCAGCGAGGTTGATCGCATTGGTATTGCTTGAATAAATCACATCTACAACTGGAAGTATGAGCCTATGGACTGTGCTGCTTTGTGGGTAGGATTAAAAACAAATTGATAAATAAATCTACTCTTCAAATAAGAACATACTCCTCTTGCAGCTATGCTATTAGTTTTTCTTTTCATGAGAAAATTAACACCTAAAAGCTCTCTAATATCCTCAGCTGTGTCGTTGCATTTAGAGTAGATGCAGCCTTAACAATGAATACATTATTCTTTCACATTAGTAAAACAATGTACTAAATAAGACATTATCAATTAGCAAAAGATCATTTTACACAAATAAAGATAACCATTTAAAATCTCTATTTAATAGAGAATCATACCCTCTGTCAAGTTCTTGCTATCTCTGCCCATCACACAATCTCCCCCTTCTTTCGATTACATTGCGTGTTTTCCTATAGTTATGGTACTAATATCCTTGATTTTAATTTTTGTTGACATTTCCTGTCTACATCAACAGAATGTGCTCCAGGAGATTAATGTCTGTTTTGTTATTTTTTTCTGCTTAGAATTCCCAATGTCAAAAGCATAGTGTCTCACATCAAGTAGCTGCTCAATAAATAGGGATTGGATTAATATCTACAATTGCTTATGCCTTTAACTGACTTATTCAATTCATCCTCTTATGTTTCATTCAATAAGAAAATACGTTATAGGTGTTATAGGAGGTTATTGAAGAACATAGATAACATTCCTGCCTGTAATTGTGTTGGACAAAAAAAAAGCTAACATACCAAAAATAATTTATATAAAATACTAACAATGCTGTACAATTTAATCTGTGTGATAGATTTAGAGCTTCAGCATAACTAGGATAATTTAAAGAAAGGAGAGATGGTAACAGATATGTGTGCAGATAAATGGTAAAATTATTCCTGAATGGAGAGGTCAAACTGAGGTTACTGATCTGATTGGAAACCTCTCAAATTTATATATTAGTAAATACTTGTTGGGCACCCACAGGGGACAATGTCATTTTTGATCCTATCAAAAATGCCAGCATGTAGGAACAATGGTTCTCAATTTACAGAAGATTACCGTCTAGAATTCTCAAAGATAATAGTAGGAAATAAAATTGGAGATGTAGGGGCCCTGAAATACTGTTGCAGTGTTTGTTTTAGTAGAGCCCAGCCTCATGAATTATGTATTGTGCCTGAGTAATATCCAGAAGAATATTACCAACACAAACAACTCCTGTCCTGACATCTGAGAAATCATTAGTCCCTGGTTAGAAGCACATACCTAAAAAGCGAATAATAGGCTACAAAACATGAAGTAGGACTCAGAGTAGAAAAAAGCTGAACAATAATAATGGCAAAATTATTTTAAAAATTTCTTTTTAAAATTTTAAGTGTTTGAGTAAGTTAACATTAGTGCTATGAAGGGGGGGGGGAGCAGGGAGGAGGTGTGAATGAGGGGAAAAGGAAGAACATCTGTAATACTTTCAACAATAAAGATACATTTCAAAAATTATTATAAGCCCTGGCCAGTTTGGCTCAGCGGTTAGAGCGTCGGCCTGCGGTCCGGAGAGACCCGGGTTCGGTTCCCACTAAGGGCACGTACTTCGGTTGCAGTTTGTCCCTGGCCCTGGTTGGTCGTGCGGGTGGCAGCCACTCGATGTGTCCCTTTCACATCGATGTTTCTCTCTCTCTGTCTCCCTTCCTCTCTCTCCCTCCCACTCTATCTGTATAAAAAATGGAAAAATGTCCTCGGGTGAGGATAAAAAAAAATTATTATAAATATTTTAAACTAAATTTTACTCTTATTATTTTTTCTATCTTCCTTTCTGCCTCCAGAAATAATTTGAAAACTATTATAAAACAAGAAATGCAATTAACTAATTCAAGATTGCTTATTAAATGAAATAAATGATGTGTAATTATTTTTTCCTTGGGTACTCGCTTTCAGGTAGTTACTTACCTGTGTTAACTTGCTAACACAGACTATTATTAAGTAGCATCAATATCATCACCAATCAATTGAATTACATACAGTACTAATGAGTTTGATCAAATCCAACTCCTACTTGATAACTAAAGGAATACAGTTGAAGAAACACTGGGAAGATCCATAGCTCTAAAACTAGCCACGGAATCTGAAAAACATGAAAATATTTTATAGAAACCTCCCCTGGCAAATATGCTTTATCTGCATTTTTTTTTTAATTGAAACTATGCCTCTTTCTATATATATTAGGTATTAATCACTGAAATGTTATTATACATGGGGAAATAATGTTTCATTCTTCCGACGCCAGAGGTTCTATGTATTTTCTGGGTGGTAATGCAAAAGAGTTTCCCAAGTGAGACAGTTTAAAAATAAGCTAAATAAAATACAATGTATGTATGGAATGTTTTGAGTTCTTATAAACAATTTTGAGTGAATTCTTTGAGTTTAGTTTTATATTACCTAAGTGGTTCAATGTTACAACGATGATGTAGTATTCATACAAAGAATTTTTTTGTCCTCTGACATTGCTCAAAACAAATGACCATCTACTCAGTTTTAAATTGTATGGCTTTCATATTATGCAGCCATTTTAATTTTAGAAAGATTGTTGTTTTAATTTCCTAGAAGTATTAAAATTTTCTGTATTATCAGATAAGCTGTCTATTATTATCTTCTTAAGAGCATCTTACTTAGGTTTTTCCTGTTAGGAAAATAATAAACGATCCTTGTAGAAAATGTATAGTGGGCTAATGGACTTCAGAGGGTCAGTGAACCTTCTGAAATAGTGCGAGAAATACTTATGCATCTGCGCAGGTCCATTTTGTTTGTTTCCCATAGCTTACAGATTCTCAAACTGGTTTGGTAGAAAGAAGAATGTTTCGCTGGCTCTCAGGTCAGTGATGAGTAAATATCTCCTAATCTTTAAGTATGTGTGCTTTCTGGGCTCCTTCGTTGTATCCATCTTCATTTCTGTTTGTCTCATTCACTCTCTATAGCTACCTATCTATATGCTTAGTAACGTCAAGAATGGCTAGGTGACCATTTTTCGGAAAGAGAATAGTGGCATACATGCATATTTTCTTGCTTGCATGTTATTTATGTATTTGTAATTTTATTGTGTTTAACTAGCATGCATTACATAAATTCATTAGTGCTTCATTTATTATTTCACTTTCACCTACTCTTTATGTAAGGAGTGTTGGTAGTATCTGAAAGTAATATTTAGTTTTTAGTTTGCTGAATACAGAGGATGGACATTGAATGAACTAGAAAAGAAATTACCATCACACAGAGATGGATATAAAGATTTGGGATCCTCCTATTTCACCTTTTTCTGAGAGCAACTTAATTTGCACGAGGAATGTTTGCCTTATTAGCTGAAAACATGAAGTGGTTTTGTGTATTACGAATGGAACACTGATAGGGGTGCAATGGTGAGAAGAGATGCTCAAGCTCCATGGAGGTAAACCACCAGGCACTTGTTTGCTTGCTCTCATATTTCCTTCCTTCCTTCCTTCCTTCCTTCCTTCCTTCCTTCCTTCCTTCCTTCCTTCCTTCCTTCCTTCCTTCCTTCCTTCCTTCCTTCCTCTCTCTCTTCTTTCTTTCTTTCTTTCTTTCTTTCTTTCTTTCTTTCTTTCTTTCTCTCTCTCTCTCTCTCTCTCTCTCTCTCTCTCTCTCTCTCTCTCTCTTTCTTTCTTTCTTTCTTTCTTTCTTTCTTTCTTTCTTTCTTTCTCTTTCTTTCTTTCCTGAAACGCAGGGGACTGGAAGCCAGCAAAACTGTATATCCCAGATTCCTTTGGCAACGGACTCTAGCAATGTTCTATTCATGGGAAGTCCCAGTCTGAATATGAAAGGCACAAAGAGAAAGTGCTTTTTTGCTGTGCTGTAGGAGGGGTGCTAGAGCAACCTCGGCTGTACAGTGCACATGGGCTCTGGTTGTGGCCAAGGCAGTGCCAACTGTGGGCAGTGGCAGATCTCCAGGCTTCTGCTGTGAGTGTGTAGGCACACTGATGGCTTTCCTGTAGGCTGCAAGTGGGAGGAACATGTCCCTCAGAGAAGTGTGAAATGAGAGAACAGAGAAACATACCAAAAACAGCCAACTTAAACTTAAATTTATAACCCTGCAGTGTTTGTTAAAATCACTTGAAAGCTTTTTGTGTGTGTGATTTAGACACATGAAAAGTAGCAAAGTAATTTTAACAAACATTGCAGAATTATACATTTACAAAAGAAAGCCTTTATTAAATTGATAAGAACAGATACTACACTTGATCTTAGCCAAAAGGCCAAGAAGAGATGGGAAAGCCTTATGAATCAACAGTAAGATAAAGTCATATTAAGAGGTTTGATAATTGGAGGAATCAGACAAAATTTAAACATGATTGTGCCCAAATTAAGTTGAGAATTTAGTTCAGAAGAATGCTTTAAGAGGAAGAAACAGGTTTTTAATTTGCCATTAAAGCCCCTTCATGGGAACAGAATCATATAAAGAAAAAAATTTAGGATGAAAAGTACCTTACAATCATCAGGGTAATATTCTTTCTTTCCAAGGGAGCAAAAGGATAGTTCAACAGTAACTTGTTAACATTTACAAAACTAGTTGGAACAAACACCCAGATTATTTTTCTGCAGCAAAAGGGCATGTTGCTATAGGTAGAATGGTCATAATGAAAGACTGAGCCTTACATGGGTTAGCAATACTTCTCCAGGCACGTGGACTTGAAACCTTGTAAGATCACCAGGTCAGTAGAGAAAACATCGATGCTTTAGACAATCTGTTTTTGGCATTGTACAGCATTCAGGTGAATTCGTGCAGACAAGAGACCCTTCCTGATTGTTTGTATTTTATTAATGACATTAGGTAATTTCACAGGTTGGCGAAGTCTTCCTTCTTCAACAGATGTTCTTAGGAGATCTCGTTTTAGACTTAGGAGCCTATTTTGATGAACTTTATGAAACGGCTATATTTTTAGGCTAAAAATTGTCAAATATCAGCAATTTCATATGGTTCAACTTAATACAAAGGAGTTGGTATTCCCATTAGGCTTTGATTTAAGAAAAAATCAAGAGGTTCCAATGTTTCATATATCAGGGAGACTTGGTTAATACCATCTTAGAGGTAGAAATTCTCTGAAATCTTCAAAGACCACTTGCTTTTATGCTTATTCTCCTACTCCAGCATCAGGTGACTACCAATCAGTGCACTGAGTGTATAAAATACTTTAAAAAATAATGTATTGATTAAAGAGAGAGAGAAAGAAACATCCATTTGTTGTTCCACTTATTTATGCATTTATTGGTTGATTCTTGTATGTGCCTTGATTGGGGATTGAACCTGCAACCTTGGCATATCAGGATGACATTGTAACCCATGGAGCTACCTGGTCAGGGCTATAAAGCATTTTTGTATTGGGTCCTTTGCAATAGAAAACTTATAAAGACTATGAATAGAGCCCTGGCCGGTTTGGCTCGGTGGTTAGAGTGTTGGCCCGTGGACCAGAGTCATGGGTTTGATTCCGGTCATGGGACATACCTCAATGCTGTTTGGTCCCTGGCCCTGCTCAGGGTCATGCAGGAAGCAGCCAATTGATGTGCCTCTCTCACATTGATATATCTCTCTCTCCCTCCCTCCCACTCTGTCCTGGGTGAGGATTAAAAAAAAAAGAATATGAGTAGAAAAAAATCCCAGATTGTCACTGGGACATAGACTCTCTAAAATTCACTGGGGGACTTGACTGTTTAGATCTTGGTATTGATTCAGGTATGGTAAAAAATGACAAGTGAGGGTGTTCCTCTGATAGATGCCGATGTCCAGAGAGAAGATCACAGAGTTAAGATAATTAGCAAAATTAACAATTTATTTAACAGTTTTCTTATGTATCAAATAAGTAAGTTTATAAAGTAAAATTGCAAAAAAATTCTCCATTTCCACTGACCATTTTTCCCTCCCTCCTCCTTTTGTGTGTGTATGTATAAAGAAGAACTCTTTATCATAGATGATGTTAGACTGTACAAGTCTGGCTAACCAATAATGCTTGAAATACAGACTGATCAGAAACACTGAGAAAGGTTACTTGTCTAGTCAAACGTATCAGTGGAGATCAAGATACAGATAAATGTGTTCATTATCGTTCAGTCTAAATGGTGGACATGAATCTATCTGGTAGATAAATCTGTATTTGGACAGGCCATCTAAAAAGAAATTAACAATTTTAAATGCATCATTGAGCATTTTATTACCCTTACCTATTGGTTTAAAAGCTCAATAATGGGGAAGAAAAAAAAATTCAAATTAATATATACTTCTATTTTTAAAAGTATATACATTGATTTAGTTTTAAGCTAATTAATATATATATTTAAATGTCATGATCAAAAGTATAAAATTAGAATTATATGTCTCTAACTATAATACTGCATATCTTTAACAATTAAACATGTTTTATGGAATGTAATTTCTTATTCTTTCTTAACTCATTCTTGCTGTGATTTTAAGAACATATTAATTAGGAATATAAGTTATAGAGAAAAGAATATCCCTAAAATTGATAATAATTTTAGTATATTAATTTAAGAAGGCATTATTAGAAAATTGTGATATTTGCATTTTTTGAAAGCTGTATATAAAGAAAAATATATGATTTCATGAAAGTGATGTGGGTTTTTACTTTATTTATTCTAATTCTATCAGTTAGGGTTCAGGCAGGCAAATAGAAACCACTTCTACTTTTCAAATCATAAGAAATTGAATAAAAGAAATTGATTATTCAAATGATGGAAAAACTGTGAAGTCAAACAGAGAGCAGTGGTTGAATTGGAGGATAACGCAGTAGGAAACTGCAACCACCTTAGGGCTTTAGGGACAATGAGAAAAGCCAACTGAGAGTACAGAAGCCAGAGGTCCTGGTGCAGCCTGGAACCACAGCAGGGGCTGCCCCAAACTTGCTGGGACCATAGGCAGAGAGGGGCTGTCTGATGGGAGATGAACCCCCAAAGAGCTGCAGTCACAGTTGGGCAGTCAGCCAAATGAAAAAGAGGGAGAGTAATTCCTTGGCATTCTCTTGTCTCCTCCCCATACCTACCAGTGCTTTACGTGGGCTAAATAGGGAGCCAGGTGAAAGGGGAGGCTGGAAAATGTGTTAGTGATACCCTTGCAAATACGCATTTATATTTGCTGATGGAGGGAGAGTAAGACTGATGGCCTCAGCTGCCTCTCCTCTAGATCTAGTCTGGGTTCACCTCATTTCTGGAGGACTGCACCCAGCCATAAACACAGCAGAGATTTAATACAAGCCCATTCCTGCAAGGTGGGGGACTTTGTAAAAGCATGACTGCAGCTCAAGGATATCCCCATCTGACCAGGCAAACTTTCCTAATACCACATTGTATTTTTACATTTCTCTGCTTAAACAGGCTGGTCAGACATGCATTAACATTCTGGAGGCATTCCCTACCTTCTTCTGCTCCCTCCTTTATGTCCTTCACAAATACCCCCTTCCCCCAATAAATCTGTTCCATGTGTCTTTGGTCGCTTACAAAAAGGCCTTCCTCTCCTGTAGTGGAATAACAAATGCAACTAAGTAGGCTGAGGTTCTGATCATTGGCCACAGAGCTTCAGGGACATTTAAAAGCTGATCCAGCCCTGGCCGGTTTGGCTCAGCGGTTAGAGCATCATCCTGTGGTCCCGAGAGACCCGGGTTCGGTTCCCGCTAAGGGCATGTACCTTGGTTGCAGTTTGTCCCCGGCCCTGGTCGGTCGTGCGGGTGGCAGCCACTAGATGTGTCCCTTTCACATTGATCTCTGTCTCTCTCTCTCTCTCTCTCTTCCTCTCTCTTCCTCCCACTCTACCTGAACAAACAACAACAAAAAAATGTCCTCAGGTGAGGATAAAAAAAAATAAAAGCTGATCCAAGGCAAATTTCTTGTTCTCTGGTTGGGGTCCTGGTTGAGAAAACCTGGGACTGTGAAACATAGGCTGGAGGCACTGATGTGGATGTCCCAGAACATGTTGGCTCAGCAGATCTCTTCGATGCCCGGAGCTGGCCCACCCTTCCCCACTGAGAGTTAGCACTTCCCCATGCTGCAAGAGGCCTCTTCCATGCAAGCTAACAGGTATATCCATTTAGGAGAGGCCCTACACTTTCTCTTTGCTGACAGACCTGTACCAAGTGTAAAATCCCTACAGAACCTTCCCAAGGAGTGGCTATGCCTAGTAAGGAAGAAAAAAGAGTTCATACCAAAGGAACTACGAGAACTATCCATCCTACACCAACAAGAACCAAGGGAGTACCAAGGGTACTTGATCAAGGGAGCTGGGAACTAAGACTGGATACATGAGAATTGGTTAACTTGGGGCCACACTCGCAGCACATAGGACTTAATATCCTAGGACATTCCCCAGGGAATGAAGGAACCTTGTCTGCGAGTGGCTCTCCGAGGCCTGGAAAAATCAAAAGCCAGTGCTGATATGAAAATGTTTGGGTTGCTCTGGTAGACAGCAGAGGAGAAATGGCATGCTCGAAAGGTACTATTATGGAAGGCCACAAGGCTCCAGAGAGGAGTATGCCCACTGGCAGGCCCAGAGTGCACACCGATCACCAAGGCCGTCAGGAGTGTGCTGAGAACAGCATGAGTATCACACTGTCCATTAAATGCCTACCTCCAAACCTATGAACTCTGTGTCAACTCCTATTTCAAATTTTTTCATCAAAAGGAAACTCTAATTTTCTCCAGTGTTCTTAGAATCTCTGTTCTTAAATTATGCTGTTAATAATTCATTTTATTTATATATAGTGGCTTAAATTGTAATTTTACAAAAAGGTTTGTAAACTAACCCACTACATTAAAATAATGATTTAAACCATTGTACTCTATGTTTAAAAGTAAGTGGATAAAAGCGGCACAGATTTCCATCAAGAGTAGAATTGATAAATCAATAAATATATAAACAATGGAATAACAATGATAATGAACAAACTACTGTTATAAGCAATGACATGGATGAATAACATACATAATATTGAGTGAAGGAAAGCAGATAGAAATGAATACATGATAATTCTACTTATATAAGTTAAGCAGTTCAGTAGATGAGCTAGAATTATTCCCAGAAAAAGGAAAGATTTGAGAAATCTCATCATATAATATATATATACATATACATATATATATACACACATATATATACATATATATATATACACACATATATATATATATATATATATATATTGGAAGGCTACTTAACTCTAAGTTTGTTTGAGATACAGAGTAGGCCTGGGCATTAGTAGACAATGTT